TTACCTGAGTTGTGGGCACCTGGAGACTCCCAATCAGAATTGTAAACACTTCTTGAATTCTTTAGTTAATGCACACAAGAGGCACCTTTCTTAGGGATTAAGGCTTGACATAAAAAACTAAAGGTGACGGTTAGGTTCTGAGGAAGCTAATATAGTTTCTAGAAAATGATGTGGAAATGTATAGTTAGCATTTATTTTTACCTCATTCCCAGGAAAACTTTTTTTTTAACCTCACTATTCTTTTTTTGGCTAAGCCATGCTCATTAGGCATCCCACTAAATTTCTTTTCATTACTTTTAAGTCACCTATATGCTATCTCTCCACAAGGGCTTCATTTTATACCAACTGCAACTGTTGAATATCCTCTTTAGGAAAGGGTCCCAGTGAGCCGAGCTTCACTCTGCCCTCTCCTTTTTCCTTTTTAGAATGGGCTGGTACCCATTGTTGAACCAGAGGTAATACCTGATGGAGACCATGACTTGGAACACTGCCAGTATGTTACTGAGAAGGTGAGTCTTGAACATAAAGATCCCGATTCTAGTTGAAAAATCTTGTTTTTAAGTAACAGCTGTTACTTAACATATAACAGCTGTTATATATGCAATATTCTTCAATCGGAATCATTATCTAGCTTTGAGAAGGTAAAGAGGTGTTATCAAACCCTCCACTTTGCTGGTATATGGTACACTCCTTATGGAAAAAGTACCAGATTTGCAGTACTAAAACTAAGTCTTGAGAATTCATGTTCCCAGGTATGGGACCTTGGGTAAGTTACATTATCTTTTTACACCTCAGTTCCATTATCTGTGAACCAAGAAATTTTTAAATAAGATGAGGCCTGCATGAAAACATGTAATTAGAAAGTAATTTGTTTACATGTGACTTTCTAAATTAGCCCCAGTATAGCTGAAAGAGAGTAAGAAAGTCATAATGTAATCTGACCTCAGTTTCTTCACTTGCAAAAATTAGGTGAACTGAAACGAGACCTGAAAGTACTTCTGTGTCTCAAGTACATGTTTTTATGACTACTCAGCATCTATGGGGATAGAGAATGGAGGTCAATTTGGATGTCCCCAAGGAACAAAAGCAAGGCAGTCTCAGTTGACCAAAGGGAGTAATGGGAAGGGAGGAGTGAAGGCCTCTAGGAAGCAGAGCCACGCCAATGGTCCATTCAGTGAGCAGTTAGAGCAGGGGCGGCAGGGACAGGCCAGCTTGGCTGTCTCAATGGCTGTGGTTTGTGATATGCTGCCCTGATGAGGCCTAGGGACTGGTTGGGTC